TTGCATATTTGAAATTATTTAACATATCTTACTAGAATGCTCTGAGGTTTTTATAACACTATTGTACTCTACTTTGAGCAATAGTGATGTATGATTACTCTCCAATCTTAACAGAAGAATATAAAAAAATAGCATCTTCATCCTTAATTAATCATAGCTAAGGAGCGGAATCTCATTGAAGTTCAAATATATATATATATATATATATATATATATATATATATATATATATATATATTACGTTAAACGTGCAATCAATTTACAAATTCATGAATTATTCACACAAAAACAAATGCAAAGATTAATGATTTAATTGGCGAGAAATCCATCGTCGCAAACAATTCAAGTAATATACAAAAACCTCCGAATCCGTTATGAATGAAAAGATCCTTGTTTCTATAAATTTCTGCCGTATTAGTTCTTATTTTTACTACAAGCTTTCGTCTGTTCCTACAGACATCTTCAGGTATGGAGTAGATGTTGTTCTTGTTTTTTCTCTTAGTAATAAGAGGACAACGAAAATATATGTATTGTTGTATCCGAAAATGCTATTAGAAATGAGTTATTGTTTTGGAGCGCGCAACTTTTAAAAATTTAAAATCAAACTCAGCGTTGCTACTTCATGAATATATATATATATATATATATATATATATATATATATATATATATATATATATATATATTCGATATATATATATTCGAGGATTATTTTCCAATTTATTCTAGATGATCTTCGCCCTCTCTAAACTTATATCTATCTTTCCTGGAATAACATGCTGGCCGCACGTTGCACGTAAGAATTCATTCTTTTTTCAGTGCTCTTTAGACTGTCATTGTTGAAATTCCTCTCCCATGTCCCAAACGTCTTATGATTTGAGTGGAAATAATGATTTTTCTTCTTGTTGAATTTAAAAATAAGTTCTTTCAAAATTCGCTAGAAGACCTTTTTAGCTTCGTTTTTGAAATTTGGTAATTCCTGTGTAGCGAAGGAACCATATTTTTAAACCAGTTAATTTATAATAATTACGCTCTGTAAATTTACATTGAGCACTGTTTTGTAAAAATAAAATATCAATAGGAACACCGGATTATATATCTTAATGTCCTTTCATTTTACTGTAATATATATATATATATATATATATATATATATATATATATATATATATATATTATTTCGAATATTTTATACTTTTAAAATTTATAAATTTTCATATATATATATATATATATATATATATATATAACTTTCCATAAGAATAATTAATTCCTTTTAATAAAATGTAATGAATCTCATGTACGAAAAATAATGTATATTTAAAAGAACGTTTTTTCGGCTTCTCGTTTATATATATATATATATATATATATATATATATATATATATATATATATATATGCATACAGTACTGTTTCCCAGCTCCTCGTGCGACTAGGCAATCGAATGCATGACAAAGGACACTAAAATGCTTGCTCGTGAATATGAGAGGTTCATATTAAAAAAGAAGTAAAACTTGTGTAAATTATTTAATGACACATGTCTTAACGCACACACACACACACACACACATATATATATATATATATATATATCAAAGTATGTGGTGCAGTTCAATTTACATTACATGAATCATTCATGCAAAAAACAGATATAGAATTTAATGATATAAATGGCGAAAATGTTTGCGAAGATGTATTCTCGACATTTGTATCATTAACTTTATATCTGTTTTTGTATTAATGATTCAATATATATATATATATATATATATATATATATATATATATATATATATATATATATATATATATATATATATATTTTACACGCATATCAACAACAGTTTTTACATAATGGCCATTTGTGTTGTATTCTGGAACGACTATTCATTTATATATGGATTCAGTGTTGATTTCACATTCACACAATTACGCACACACATACTCACGCACATACACACACATACATGCATACATATACAAATGTTAACTATGCTTCCCCTTTGATAACGTACTGATTTCAATCTCTATTCTAGCTAATGATCGTGAAGATTATTTTCACCATCATTTGCAGACAAAAATGTTGGTTGATGTACCAGAAAGCTATTCTTTCACATTTGCATTCTTATGAAACTGGCTGCTTTATCCGTTTTCGTTTTGACATAGGGAAGCATAAATGGTTACCCAGACAAAAGATCTGCGTTATTTATAGTATATAAAAACGAGCTGCTCTATCCGTTGACATTTTGATTTTATTCAGTTTAGACTCTTAGAGGAAAATGCATTTTCTCTGATTAATCTATTAATTTATATCGCATTTCAATCGAGACAGATTTTAGTGATGTCTTGCAAATGAGAACAAACGCTATTGATTTAACACTTGCCGCTATTTCCAAAAGTAAAAAAAAAAAAGGATTTGGTTTCTAACATTCGAATGCGGCTACCTCGAAAGCGAATTTGTCGATCATTTCTTCATCTCCTCTCACAGTTCGGTAGTCTTAGAAGAAGGTCAACGTCCAAAGTGAAAATCATTATGGCCTCTGGTCCAAATAAACAGCAATTGCTGTTGACATCAAAACACTGTGCAGTGAACAAAAGACATGTCTCCTTCATTGACATTAATTGCTTTGGGAAATGAAATCCAAGGAAAGAACAACTCCGCATTCTCCACAGATTTACTGTCATTACATCCGTTGCTCCGTCTAAGATAAACACACGCACAAGATACCTTGCTGCCATAGTACCAGAAGATTTAATAGTTCCATGTTCGTGTCGAAAACTATTCAACCCATCATTCTATACTTCGATGCCATGAGCTTGTTTAGTCCAAGA